CAGTTCGTGGTTAGTTGAGGGAGCAGGGTGGTCACAGGGTGCCTGCTAACCACAGGTCAGCGTTGAAAACCACCAGCTGCTCTTTTCTGGAGAAAGAGGAGGCTTCCCCCTCCAGGAAAGATTCAAGGTCTTGGGGCAGATGGATGCTTCCCTCTAGGGCTGCTCTGGGGTCGTAGCTGAGTGGGTGGCAGTGACATTGAGGAGCGTTTAAACAGATAAGGACTTGTTGGACCCCCTTTGTGCCAGGCCCTGCATCAGATGCAGAGAGAGATCCGACACAGTGTCCATCGGATGCGGGCATGGCTAGGCAGGCCATATGGATGTGATTCCCCAGTGATGGATGGAATAAACCAGGAGGCAGGGGGACATCCCTGAGAAGGTGATAGGGGCCAGTGAGGGACGATATGTGCGAACTTGCTTTCCAGAGAGAGTGGAGCACACCTTTGACGAGAAGCATAGAGAGACCCGAGGGAACCTGGGGAGGCCAGGCAGGCGTGGCCTGTGGTGGGAGGAGGGAAGGCACAAGGGGCTCTAAGCAAGTGGGGTGAGGCTGAGAGGCAGGCTGGGGGGGATAAGAGACCGACGGCAGCTATGGACTCTACTCAGCAGGATGTACCATGCCACGTGAGATTTGGGAGTGGTGGTGGTTGCAATCATAATAATAGCAACACGGATGGATGGACAGAAGGGCCCAGTCACTCACACACACACGCACACAGAGAGAGAGAAGCTGGGAGGATGAACCGATACTTCATGGGCCAGTGGGATGAGAAAGAGGAGACACAGGCAGTGTCTGAATGGAGTGTCAGGGAGGTCGTTTTCTTCATCGGCTAGTGTTGCTATAATGGAAATGCCACAGGCGGAGAGCTTGCCTTTTCGTTAGATAATAATAAGACCTATTGGCAGCGAACACCAGCAGCTGCTGCAGTCTTGGTTCCCAGAGCTGGAAGCCGCGCGGATGGGGTGAGCTCGGATGAGACTGGCCTTCACAGAGCAGGGAGCACCACAGATGGTCACACGGGCACTCGGTCTGCCTTAAGAGTCCAGTCACACCCTACCACCTACAGTCAGCTCTCAGGCGCTCCATCAACTGCAGCATCTACCTCCGACCTTAACCTGGGCGTGGAATTAGCCAGCGTAGGAAGTCCTTGGCACAGTGTCCATCACGTTCTACTTAATAGGCATTCGCCCAAGGAGTGATTCTTGTGAATGGAATTCGCCGTGATGCGTTAGAACTCTCTAGAATGTTGTCCTTCTGTCATGATGTTAATAGGCTATCGTTTCAGTCTTTTCAGCCAGGAAGGTCCAAAGGGAACCAACTCTTTGCTGTGACCCAGATAGACCTGGATCGGAACACGCGATCCATACGTATCTTGTCTAACTTCATAAGCAAATCCAGTGCTAAAACGCTAAGGAAATCCACCTGCGCAAGTAGCGGCCTCTATTTGTGTTCAGACGGGCCGGAAATCAGACCTGTCTCTTTCATTCATTAGCCTGTCACTCTGAAGCCGCAGGCACCGTGGTCTCTTGGGTGGCCTCATCATTGGCATGTGACTGCTGGACAGGGAGACAGTGACCCCTGAAGAGGGGTGGACGCATTGGCATGTAGGTGTTGGCGAGGAATATTGAATGCACCACGGGCCACCGGAAGAATGATCCAGTCTGCCACTCGGAAAGAGAGCCAGATGCTCCTTGGAAGCGTGATGGTGAGACTTTGTCACCTGTACTTTGCGCATGTCATCAGGAGAGCCCAGTCGCTGGAGAAGAGCGCTCAGCTTGGTAAAGCAGAGGCTTTAGTGACACAGAGTCGCTCCAATCCCTCCCAGAAACAGAGTGGCACAGCGGTGGTGGCCGCGAGCTCAAAGGTCACCATGAGAACGGCACAGGCCTGGGCACCCAGGGGTCCCAGAAGGAGGAGTTGACTCCGCGCACCTCACAACCAC